CATTGCTGCGCCATCTTGTCAGCACTCTAGTTGTTTAATAGCTCTATGACTATAACAGTTCTCCAAAGAAAGCAAATTTTCAGTGACTGTTCAAATTCTCTATCTAGTATCATAATATGTTTAACAACTAATATAGTTATTATTATAGAAAATTAATTAAGCGAATGATGATCTATTATGAATTATGAGGAAATACTTTTTTGAACCACAGACGGCAGCTTAATATTCATCCGCATTACCGGATCTCTAAAATTTCGTCTGCTATTAAAATTAGCTCTTTTCATTGGTTAGTTTGATAGTTGTTGCTTGCCAGTCGTCTTCAGTTGAACTAAAACTAGGACTTAGTCGTAGTTAAAACTTCGACTACGTTGTTTGTGAATACAAATTGAGGTTGAAGTTGAAAGTAGCACTAAATGAAGTTCTAGTTCGAAGTGCGACTAAAGTTTGTTTTAAGAATACGGGCGTTAGCATTGATTTCGCTACTTTGCCATATTGCTGTTTTGGTACTTGTCATTGCTGCTTTGGTCTCTTGCCGTTTTGGTACTTATAATTTGTTTACCTGCTACAATAATTATAATGCAGGATTAATTAATTATTCCAAATACAAATCAAGTTTATTGATAAGAACAACTATAGATAGTTCGTCCAAGCAATAAAGTTTTAACTATTTTTTGTAGAATAAATTAAATGTAAAACACTAAAAATTATACCATTAAATCTACTTAATCAATCTTATTAATTAAATTAAAGATTTAAAGGGTATTGTGTTCTACGTAGGGCCTAGAAGTAAAAACAAACAATACATTTTTATTTATACTCTTTATTTCAACAATTCGATTTTAGGCCAAGTAACAAAAACCACTTGTTTCCCGTCCCCGCCAGCGTCGATTTTTGGGCCCGCGTCAATTTTTTTGTTATTTTTCAAAATTTCGTTTTTTGTTTCTGAAAAAACTTGAACTATTGACTATTGTGCTCTCTCTAGGCTAGGCCTAAACCTGAATGTGCTGAACTCGGCGAGAAAGCATGAGCTTGGCTGTATCATATCGATAATAATACTGTATTTATTAACTGGCGTGAAGTTGGTTACTT